GGAATATTGGAGCTTCAGGGAACACCGAGTGCGACAGCAGGGCAGGAAAGCGGCAGGCAGGGGGCCCCAGCCGCCACCCTCGGTCGGGGAGGATGTGGACGACAGACTGAGTGCGCCAGTGGAGGCGCCAGAGACCTATACTCCGTCATCGAGACTTTCGACAGTTCATCGACAGTGCCGACAGAGCGGATGAGCTTCCATCCGGACGGCGCCACGACAACGAAAGGTTCGACAGACATCGTTCGCCCCCAAGCGAACCAGACCTGGATCACTGAGCTGAGGGGGGCGTTCGACTTGGAGCCGAAAGGGAAGGGCAAGTCGAAAGGCGGCAGTGGCGACACGACACCGAGACGGTCGACACCGACAGCGAGCTTTCCCGCGATCCCCGGGGGGCAGCCTCCTCGACATCGGCGCGGAAGAGATCGCAAGGATACCGACAGAGGGCTTCATCAGGTGGGAAGCCAGTATCGGCGGCAGAGGAAGGTGGGACGTTAGGAATTGTACGTGCAGATGCATCGTGAGATGCCCGTCCCCCGCTAGTGAAACCAGGGAATGGGCAAAGCCCATCCAGCCGTCAGAGTATGTCGCCATCCGATAGGCATTCGTGGCCAAGCATGGGGAGATCGAGGACAAGGTTACGCCAGCCAAAGAATACCTCGAGAAGAAGTTGCACGAGCTCGAGGGTGGCGAGTTTCGGAGGTCGACCCCGACGTCATGGTGCCGATCTGGGACTCGGAAGGGAGTCTGACCGTCAAGAAAGCATCGTCGTCAGTTAGCGTGCCGACAGGTCCTGAACAGTTCCGACATCGGATGACGATCATGCAGAATATGCTATTGATGATGGTCCTCAAGCATCCCGACAGGCCAGAGCTCAGAGGCATTGACAAAGACCTCTTCGACAGGTGCAAAGACTACATCCTGGGAGAGTATGTCTACGGGCTTCGATCCTCGGAAGAGAGCGGCAGTCACGCCCCTCTGGTGCTCAGTTATGAGCATGCCGTCAGAAAATGGGCATGCAAACAGATGGCCCAGAGATCGATATCCTTTGGCGACAGTCTTCGAGAGTCATGGGAGGAGCCGGCAGTGAAGGAGCGACACTTCACGACACCCTTGGCTCTATATGCCAAGAGACCGCCGCCTCCGCCAGCAAACCCTTGGAAAGGGGGCAAGGGAGGCGGAAAGGACGGCAAGAAAGGTGGTGGGAAGGCGCCAACAGAACGCCAGATGGGAACCGATATGTTTCTGGTTTCAATCGAAAGGTGGCTGTCGCAAGGGAGCCAAGTGCCACTTCGCTCATGTGTGTTGCCACTGTTTAGCAATCATGCAGGGCATGCGTGCAAGACGGTGTCGGCAGGTGCCAAGAACGTGGACGCGGCAGCCGACACCCAGGGCGCAGCCTGACCCCGTTACGGCAGTAACGACAACGACACCCTACGAGTCCTTTACCTCTTCTCGGGCAAGCCACGAAAGGGAGACATGAAGCAGGCGATAGCGAGGCTGGCCAAGGCCAAAGGCAAGAACGTTTTAGTGGAGTGCGTGGATGTCCATACCATGCGAAGATTCGACAGAAATGCTTGGGCGCCATTAAAGCGGGAGTATACCAGGCAATCCTGCTCAGTCCGCCATGTTCGACATTCTCCAGGGCCTGTTGGAGGAACTTCAAAGGCCCACGACCCGTCAGGAGTTTCAAGTTTGGCAGGGGACTACAGGTCCTCACGACAGTGGAACGTCGAAAGTGTAACCTCGGCGATACCTTTGCAGACTTTGTTTGGGAAGTCGTGAGCATTGCCGCCAACACCGACACGGTAGTATTGATGGCCTTCGAAAATCCCGAAGATTTGGGCACCATCACTCATGGTCCCAATCAAGGCGGGAGACCCGCAAGCGTGTGGCAGTGGGACGACTTATTCAAACTGATTGCGACAGGCAAGATCCAGACCTTTGCATTGCACCAGTCAGATTTTGGGGTTGACTATCCAAAACCGACACGTTTTATCTGGAAGGGAACGACAGAGCTGCCGTCCTGCTGCAAACAAGGGCCACCTGTTTTTGATTCGGAAGGCTTTTATCCTCTTCAGAGGGTCCCAGGCAAGATGGTACACCCGTCAGGGCCTTTCCTCACGACAGGAACGGAGCAGTGGCCGCCAGCGCTATGCACGTGGAGCGCCACTCATCTCATGGAAGCTCTGGAGACGCTCCCTGCTACGACAGCAAGTGGGGAGGTTGGAGCGTCGACATCGACACCGTCAGAACAGCCCTTCCCCATAAATCCTCCGGAAGGTCCTGCATTGCTGGGAGGATGGGGAGAGCCAAGATCATGTCCGACAGTTTCAGGCACGAAAGGTTTTCATGATGGAGGGGGACTTTGCTCGCCAGGCAGGTGAATAGATGGCGCGCAAGGGATGACCACTGGGACAAGCTTCGACACGACATGTGGGAGATCGTCATGGACTTTATTGGCGGTGAGTCTCAGCTAGAGAAAGAATGTTTCCACATGGCAACGAAAGGCGAGAGAGGTTGCCGCCTGGCAACCAGTCTGGAGCTGCGACAGAAATTGCTAGGCCTTTGGGGGGCCTGATTGACCGAAAGAGGCCTCGCAGAGGAGGGGCTATGCGACATCACGCCAGGGCAACCTCTGAGGCTCAGGCTACTAAGGGCCATTTTGGAGGCGGCAGGCGATCCCGACAGAAATTTCCTGCGGCAGGCGGAGGCTGGAATTCCTGATGGGAGTCAAGAGTCCGCTGCCAAGGACGCCGAGCAGGTGGCGTGGCCGTTAGACAAGGACTTCGTGGAGCCTGCTTTACAGTGGGTGCCAAATTATGCCTCCGTCAGAGAACACCTAGATTTTGCGAAAGAAACATTCGAGGAGGACATTGCGGAAGGCATGATGTACAAGATGACATCACGACAGTTTCGTGAAGATTCGGCAGCAGCGGCATTATAGTGGAAGACGAGACGATAGGAAAGAAAAGGATGATTCACGATGCTTCACACGGCGTCAGAGTGAATCATAGAATTAGGTGCAGGGACAAGATCCGGGCGCCAGGCGCTAGGGAAAAGAAGACTATCCTCCGGGAGCTGCGAGATCGTGAAGAAGTTGCCTTTTCAGTAGTAGGTGACATCTCGAAAGCGCGCAGAAGATTCAAGCATGCGGCAGATGAGCATGGATTTCTGGCATGCCAGCTCGAAGGAGGAGAGAGCGCGAAAGACACCGACAACGACATCATCTACGTCAATAAGGTAGGGCTTCGGTGTCTCCTGCGCCAGCTACTGGTGGACGAGGATTGCAGCTTGTGGCATCCGAGCGACACATCATTTGTTAGGTCCATTTTTCCTTTTGGAATTGCTGCTTTACGCAGATGACCTGGAATCGATAGGCAGGGATCGTTCAGGAAGAATGGGGATCCCGTTAGCTTTTGTTTTCCTTGCTGCGTTAGGTTTCCCCTTTAAGTGGGCAAAGACCAGGGGGGGGTTTCCGTGTTGAGTGGTTGGGCATGGAAACGGAATACGGCAGCTACCGACTTGGACTGTCGGCGAAGAGGGCGAATTGGCTGGGAAACTGGCTACGAGAGATCTGCTCCAAGGGCTCCGTCAGCGGCAGGAACATGGCGCAAGGATTGGGCCGACTTGGGTTTGCAGCGCTAGCCTTAGAGTGGGAGAAGCCGTTTTTGGGCCCTCTCTACTCCTGGTCGTCAGCTATCCAGGGGAAGATTGGAGGGATGAAGATTCCAGTCATGATTAGGGTTCTTTGTTTGTGGCTGGCGGAAAGATTGGAAGGCAACGACAGATTACAAGCCCCCTCTAAGCTGTCGACAGAATTGGTGGGTCCGAGGTTTTTCACGGACGCCAAGGCAGCAGACGGCAGGGCTTGGGTTGGGGGTTTCCTCGAAGTGGTTGAGGGTTGCCAGGGTCCTTGGTTTTCGCTAGAAGTCACCGAAAGTTTGGCCCCGTGGGCCTTCGTCAAAGGCGACACGAAAAGGGTCATCGCTGCATTGGAGCTCTTGGCGACATTGATTGCTGTGAAGCTCTGGGTTCCGGATAGCGACAGTCGACAGCTGTCGGTGGTTTCCATGAGAGGTTACACCGATCATGGAACTCACAGAGGAGCTCGCCAGAAAGAACAGCCAACTGGAACTGAGTTGGTTAAGTAGAGACCACAACCAGTTGGCCGATGACCTTACGAATGAGAAATTCGACATGTTCGACAGCTCCTTCAGAATCCCCTTGAAAGGGGAGGAATTGGAGTGGAAGGTGCTGGACAAGCTACTTCGACACTCCGACAGCTTCTACAAGGAGGTAAAGACACGAAAGGCCTCGGCGACAACAAGACTCCCCGCAAGTAAGAGAGCGAGAAGGCTACAGCCCTGGTAGCCGGAACGTCTTATAGGGGAGAGGAGCCTGTCTGGTGGCAGGAGGTCCTCTCCGGCTAC